TAAGTTTCTATAAATGTTAATATTGTAAAAATAGTAGTCTTCGTTGGATAAGTTCCATCGTTCCTGGGGCTATTTTGCAGCCCATAAGGTAGCCACGGAGCAATGGCGCTTATGTGGCGAATCTTATTTTTTCTATCAAGGGCACACCAGATCATTAAAAATACTCGAAATTGAAGTATTAAATTCATACACTTTTTAAGAAAATAAATATATTTCATTTCCTGTTCTGTCAAGATAATACCAATAAGTACAAATGTCTTTTTATAAGACATGTATGTGCTAAGTTTTTTAAAATGACATTATGTTTTAAGATCAATTAAACAGTTCAAGACAACTTAGACCATCAACTGAAGTATTGAACATAAACTCTCCTAATCAACGACCCACTTTACAGCCAAGATCTTCCGTTAAACCAATTGGTTAACAATTATTGTTACTTATACATTATGTTAAATTGTTTATTTTGAGAAAAACTGGAAACTCGTTATTATAGAATATTTAATTCTAAAGAATTTAAAAAATAGTTGATTTTCATATAAAAAAATTTTTCAACGTTTTCATATGAATGTGTATATGCATACTCATGTAAATGATCATATTTTGCTATTAGATAAACTAAATTAATTTTAAAAAATCAGATTTTCTTTCAGTTCTCATTGGTACTAAATAATACATATTGTTGGTACCGAGAGATCGTAGTTTATCGTTTAAATTTATTAAAAAACTGTTGCTAAGATACTCATATAAAAAAAAACATACAGGCATGTGTCGGTACATTGGGACATATGGAATAATGAATTAAACAGTTAAGGATGTTCATCACAGTTAGCGGGTAGTAAGCTCAAGACCGGTGAGGGTGAGCAAATATGCGGCAGAAACGGCAGCTATTTTTTATGCACAAATTTACTGATATATATGCACCTATATCTTTTTTATAGGCCGCAATGTGAGGGCCAAAATTATTTTTCGTCATGGGCCTCAAGTGGAACTTTTCTGCCCACTTGGTGCAAAGTAATAACAATTTTTTTGTGCTGTAGAAAAAGTAAAATAAATATAATGAGTGATAATCATTTTTTTCCTAGCACTATGAAGCTAGTTAGTGTTCTCCACATTTTTTTCTGAGGAAAATCAAAGTTACCATATTAATATAAAAAGTGTATAGATAATATTTTTACGTGTGTACAAAGAATTTATTATACACCAGTTTTTTTTTTTTTTTTTTTTTTTGCAAAACTACAACAATTTTAAACAAGCAATAACTAGCGAATCATTAATTAACATAGAGAAATGTGGTATCTTAAGCAAAATGTAGCAATCAAACACAAAATGTGGTGTCATAACAAAAAATGTGGTAAAATAAAATTGGTTTATTTTTAATGTAATAAAATCAAATAGTTATATAAGAAAATTTGCAAACACACAAAATATGACAGTTTAGTTATTCAAAGCCATATAATGATTGTAGAAAATCATATAATTTAAACTATGCTATGATTTTGCAAAAAAAAAAGCAATCTTGAAGAAATACAGTTTGTTGATAGTTCTGGAAAATTAAAATAATTTTTTTTATAACAGCTTAGCTTTGACCCCCTGGTTTAACACCAGGACGCTGTCCCTGAACCTTGCACAGCCTCTCTTGTGGACGTTACGTTTACTACCTCAATTTAAGTATATAAAACCTTAAACAATGGAAAAACTTTATATACAAAAATTATTTACGAAGTATATCTGGTTTATATGTGAATAATATTTGGTGTGCAAGTCTTCAACGCGTTATTTTAATTAATTACTTCAAAATGTATACCAATGTTTGTCGCATATACTACGTTAAGTCTTGTACATCACTCGTGTCGGTGTTAGTAACTTATAATGTGTGATGAAACTCGTGTCAGACAATAATGTTGTCAGCTGGCAGTCATTTTTAGTAACTTTGATCACTAATGTCCGTCAATCATAGCTTTAAGTTTTATTTTTTTAATAAAGTAAGAAAAGGAAATTATATATTATTATAATTCAAGCTTCACCTGCTTCAATTATGCTTCGTTTTGTACTCTTAGGGAAAAATGGTAGTTGTTGTCGGATGAATGCCATCGTCTCCAGGACTGTCAAAAGCCACTCAAAAATGCATGAAGTAGGAAAAAAAATATACGCCACCCGAGAAAAACCCTAGTGGCATGATGTACTATTATTGCGGAAATAACTTATCAGTGCCTCTGAAAATTTAATATAAAATTTTTCTTATGTTATTGCGTCATGCAAAAAGTAACGGATAAATTTTATCTATCTCTTTCGAATATAAACTTAATCTTCATGTGACTTCTCCATATGGTTAAGTGTTATAATAAATTTTTTTATACATTTAATAACTAAAAAACAATATTAGGAAATGGTCTCAAATTTTACGTGACTTCCTAACATTAGAACGTGTTTTCCATATTGCTAAAATTTCAAAAAGATCCTTCAGAAAACGCATGTGTGATGAACATCTTTAACTAAGATATACGTACGAGGATACAGCAGTTCTTTTAATAACATAATGTTAATAGTAATATTAATAAGCACATAAAAAAATGTATTCAATCATAAAGATATTAACCTTAATTTTTCAGATGAATGTGGTTTCCGAAACTTGCCTGTCACTGCTGTTAATTCACCTATAATAAGAACAAATACATCAGATACTATATATCAGACATATCAAAATTACAATTTGGCATCACGTCCATCGACTAGTAACACCCAATCAAATTCACCAACATCAATACTATTTTTCTCTCCAAGACGATCAAACACATCAACACCAGTTGATTCTATGTTTGCAAGTAGATTAAATACAAATTCACAAACGTTTGAAAATGAATTGAATATAGATTTACCAACAGCATTCCATAATTCAACTCCAATCAATTATAATTTTATGGAAAATCAAAATCACTACTCATTCCAGTCGAACAGTTCCGTTTCAAATACTCCATCATACCTACACTCTCCAAAATTTTTACCATCTCGTCCACATCAATCAAATATTTTACCAGCATCACCTTTGTCAAGAAATAAAAAACGAAACAGAAAAAGATACGAACGTCGTAATAGAGGCAAGTACAAAAGTAAATTATTTAATGGGTCTTTCTATCAATACAGATTTATTATTTCAGTACTGAAATTACTATTGGAAATTCAAAGTGATCAGTGATCCGTTAAATTACTATTCTTTATTTTTTCATAAAATATGATCTTTAATGAGATTCGTGTGTAACTCTGAGATCATTATAACGTATGAAAAAAGAAAAAAAAAAAATCTCTAAACAAATATATATATCTAAAAAATAACACTTACAAAACAATGATTATGAGCATGATTCAAGTTATAGAAGATATACATTGATTCATTTGAAAATAAAAATAGTTTTATCGGTGACTCGTACTTAGTGTGTGCAGGCTCAAGACTTGTGTTGACTGCTGAATTTCTAATGCGTGCATATCTCGCTTTATGAAGAGGGGAACTTGTAGTTTATCACTCTATTATTTAGTTTTTCTGGAATAGTTTTACAAAGTATTTTCGATTTCAAAAAACGTGAATATAAGCCCATGCTAAAGAAGTATTTAACAATGGTTTTTTAACGTCTCATTCTTATTGTTTTATCCTACAATCATATCAGAAAAATTAGAAGTGTATACAAGCTTTCTCAACAACCTTTCCGAGTTTCACTTTCATAGCCAAGTTTTTCATTATGACATGAAACACCTTAATTCAAAAACAAAAATTTTATGATGAAACTTCGTAGACAAATATAAAAAAAAAAAATATTTTTAATATATGTTAACGACATATTACCACATTACATTTTTTTAAGCACCTTTAGCATAATTACGACTTCCTACTTTGTCACCTTAAATAAACACTGTCACATTTAACTTAAATTAAAAATTGCAACCACTGTTATCAGAAGAATATATTTTTTCATGCTTCCACTAAAGTTATTCTTTTTCCCTGATTTCAACGAGTAAAGTACCACGTTCCTCTCAGGTAAAAGATCAGAAAAAATCGTACATATATCGGAATGAAGTACTGGATCAAATACTAGCGCTTCGATCTTGCAATTTTTTTTCAGATCATTAATTTTCAATGCTGTGTCTATTCGAACCTTAAATCCATATACACGCATGCGCCTAGCTCGACAGAAAATTTTAACATGGCGGAAAAGTGGGCCCCCCACCACTCTTACACCAGAAATGACCAGAATGAGAGAAGTGGGGGGCCTACTTTTTCCCGAAGCTAACTTCAGAGCCTGTAGTTGCTGCCGACAGTACCGTATCGTCGTCTGCTACGACAATGGTTCTCAAATTGCGCATTGCATGAGTGTCGCCACGTCTCTCGGGTATAACTCGGCCGTCGACACACGGTGTTTGTGTTTTGTCAGGTGATCGTTGCATTAGTGCCCAGTCCTGTCTTGTGCCGGTGCTGATAACAAAGAAGTCTGGACCTTTTTTCTACATCGCGATTGAGCTGACAAGTCTGGCCTTTATCACCATGTTAAACGATGAGGTGAGCAAAAATACTGCTGTGAGTGCTAGCAGTTTGATACAGATCTGACAAGTAAACTGCATTTTTCACTTATAAGCCCAACAGCGTTTGGTGTGTTGCAGTGCTTGTTTTTTTATTATCTTTTTGTATAGTTTTTTGTCTCTCTTAACTTTGTATATAAATCAAGCAGGACTTTAACATGGGATTCCTGACAAATGAAGTATGCATGTGTACAAAAAGATAACGTTTAAATTAAGCATACATCGAATTGAGGATATATCAAAAGAGTATACTTATGTATGTCAACAAAATATACACATATCATCACCACCGATCACGGCGCTCACAGTTTAAAGATATATGATGTGCTTTGAACGGTGCAGTAAATAAGTTTACGGGAGAGGTGACTTGGCATTTCTGCTTGATCGGAAAATTAGCATAAAATAGGCATAAAATGCTTATACGAGTTCCAATGATGGAGCAGACAGTTCGTAAATTCACAAGTGCCACCAAATCGGCAACCAAGAATTGCCGCAGGTTGGAAGGCAAGGTTGCAGTTGTCACAGCCTCCACCCAAGGGTATGTTCTTTTATTTTTATTTTTTTATTTATAAGTGTATTTCTCAACTCTATTCTTATGCATTTTAAAAGATTAAAAAAAAAAAAAAAAAAAAAAAAAACTCCAAGTAACATTATTATATTTGTATGCGCACATGAATTATATTTTTTCACTGTCACTCGAACAATTGTTGAACAGTAAAATTATTTATTTTATACCTTACATTTTTGTGTACAATTAAGGATTTTGTTGTTATTAAACAGAATCGGATACTCTGTAGCACGCCGCTTCGCCCAAGAAGGAGCCAAGGTTGTCATAAGCAGCAGAAGAGAATCGAATGTCAAAAATGCGTTCGAGCAACTTGCGAGTAAAGAGGGCCTCGAGGTCTTCGGAATCGTTTGCCATGTGGGAAAAGCCGAGGACAGGCAGAAACTCTTAAATGAGGTCCATACACTTAGAAAGAACTTGATAGGTATGATGGTTCAATGGTTTTGATTTCACTTTGGTAAGTTTACGTAGGCAGTGGTGTGCTATGGTGAACTGCATATTTTGGTGCCAAACGCAGCTGTAAACCCAGAAGCAGGTCCAGTCATCGAATGCAGTGAGTCTGTTTGGGATAAGATATTCGACATCAATGTCAAGAGTACATTTTTGTTCATAAAAGAATCATTACCTCTTCTCAGAAAAAAACAATATGCCTTGATTATTATAATGTCCTCGATATCTGGATATCAACCGCTTAGTGTAATAATTAATATATCACGCATATAACAATAATACTAGACAATTCTATAATACGACTAACTTTCTATTGTATTTTATTTCAAAATTGCTGTGAGCGTATTCTGTTAGTAAAACGACCTTGCTAGGACTGCGTAAAGCTGTCAGCGAAGAATTGGCAAGTGAAGGAATTAGGGTCAATTGCATCGCTCCAGAAGTTATAAAAACAAAGTTCTTCCAACTACTATATATACATTAACTGTTAATAATATATTCTAGTATGAATAGTCCTAATAAAAATGTATTCTTTTTTTTCTTCGTATAACTTTACGAATCAAAAGCTGTGATCGATACAACGCTGACAATGATACCAATGAACAGACTAGGAACTCCAGATGAGATTGGAGCTGTTGCTGCGTTTTTGGCAAGTGACGATGCGGCACATCACTGGTGAAACAATTGCAGCTGCCGGAGGAATGACATCAAGGCTTTAAAAACTTTAAGTATCGTAAACGGGATGTGTTTCATCGTAATTTAAGGATTTTGGAATTTTCAAACTTTAGCTTTGTATTTTGATCGTGACTGGACCAATAGGGATTCAAGAAAACGGGGACTTAGCATCAAGAATTTGCCAATTGATCGAAAAATCTTTTGGTGAAGTGTAATTGGTTGAGGTGTTATGTAAGTGATTTTTTGGTACGTGTTTGCATAATGTTTTTATTTTTTTTTAATATTGTCAGGTGTAATTGTTTTACACGAAGTGGCAATAGAAGCGAGTCTGCCAGACTCTATGTAATCTCACCCTTATGTTAATACTAAAACGAAAAGTGTAGCACATTTTGTCATCTCTAACTTTCTTATGTTAGTTCACGATCTATAAAGTGATTATAATATTTCCATTTTATGAATCTATTGTAGAACAAATATAAATTATATTATTAATGACATCGAATATCTACAAATGTGTAACATTTAAAATATATATTTATAAATATGTGTATTTTATCTGGAACGAATACAGATGGCATTATTGTGAGTTGCTGTAATTATGGAAAAATGAAGATTTACTCTGCTGACAAGATGTTTGAGAACGATAGCAACTATTTGATTAGCGATTCCGACAAACACGAAGGTCCTGTAAGAGCTCTGGACTTTCATCCATTTCAGTTTCACTTTCTAGCTACTGGTGCGACAGATAGTGAAATTTACAGTTTGCATCTCAATTGAACAAATGTGCCTGTGTCTCCTGGTTCCAAAAAAATTTACCAGCTAAGGATGTACAAGATAAATTATGGAATAAAGAAGGTACGTTTACTTGGCAACTTTTTTTTTACGCATTCATAATATTGACAGTAAAGCATTTTATTTTTTATAGTGCAAAACATTCTTGCTTCAATATTTTCACAGCGTTTTGTCATTTAGGATCTGAAAATGAATGACATGGTAAGACTCACTGGTGCCAATTTAAGAGCCTCTATAATTATAATGATCATAAATTTTAACATAACTATTTTTTATCATTATTGTATGTGCAGTCACACAGCTTTAGAAAAGGATTAAACTTTAATTATTGCACAGTGGGATTCGAGATTTGCAATCTCTCCGTGAAAAACATTCCAATGCCGTCGAAGGGAAGAGATGCCTATCGCCTGGAATTCTTGCGATTCCCATTTTCTCTGTTATAGAAAACACAATACAATTATCTCTTGGAATATTTTGCCATACTAGTCGTGGTAGTTACATTTTTCTTACTACTACCTAGACCAATAAGTAGTATTAATGATGAGTTCTTGATGAGAAACTTCCAACCGTCAATGTTGAGAGAGCCGACAACCGCAAGCCGATAGCCGAAAGAGAACAAAGAGAGTCTGATATCGGTAGGTAAGGCTTGTTTGCTTTTACGGAGAGCAATCCAAGAAGAGATTCTGCCCTCATACCTCCTGTGAAAGCGAACAAACTTTATTCACCGGTGCTCTCTNGTACCTAGACCAATAAGTAGTATTAATGATGAGTTCTTGATGAGAAACTTCCAACCGTCAATGTCGAGAGAGCCGACAACCGCAAGCCGATAGCCGAGAGAGAACAAAGAGAATCTGATATCGGTAGGTAAGGCTTGTTTGCTTTTACGGAGAGCAATCCAAGAAGAGATTCTGCCCTCATACCTCCTGTGAAAGCGAACAAACTTTATTCACCGGTGCTCTCTGTTAGGCTGCGTATACATGAAGTCCCGAACTTCCAGGACCAGCTGTAAGCCCGTGTGAGTGCGACAAGGATAGTATATGTTCTTGCTTCTCACTCGCACTCACACGGGCTTATGGCTGGTCCTGGAAGTTCGGGACTCCATGTATACGCAGCGTTATCCTGCTTTTGCTGGGGCTCTATCGACATTTCGGCCTTTAATGGAAGAAAACCGACCTTTTGCAACTTTCTCGTCAAGAGCTAATTCCTGTTACAACTTTCTAGTTTAGCAACAATGAAGAAGTTAAAGTGAATGTATCTGGTAAGAAATTTTGTCTTTTTTCCAAGTTATATCTGATACATAAGCAAAACAAGAGGCCGGGTACCCTTTTGTGAGCACTGCATATTAATTAATTTATTTATTTATTGAAACAAGGTGTAAGGGGTACATTTTATGCATGGGATAGCATTACATAAAAACTGCTAAAGGTTTTCCAGAAACCTGTGTGCAGTCCTTGTTATCTTAAAAACTAAAATATTTAACCCTATCCCCCCCCCCAAAAAAAAGAGAAAAAGAAAATTGAAACGGATATAAAATAAACATTAAAAAAATTGTATATATGTGCTCAAACTGAAATAGATAAAAATTTAACAAATTTCCAACATAAAAGAGTCCGTGCCACATTCAAACTCTGCCATGCTCAACATCAATCATAAATCCCTTCAGTTTACTCTTATAATTTAATCACATCATCCCTTTCTAATAAATTTATACTCTGTAATTTTTTTGTATTATCACTTATCCAAGTTTTTAGTCTTTGTTTGATATGTTTCTTCTTATTTTCTAGAGTTTTCATATTGTGATTAAGTGCATTGTATACTTTTATATCTACAATTTAAGTAGTTGTGAGCTCTTATGTTTTATTTACTTTTGGCATTGTTATTTTGTTTCTTGTACTTATTTTGGAGTTTTTATAATTAAGTGAAAGGTTTGCATATTCTTGCATAATTGTTTCTAGTAAAAAACATTCTTTTATGGATAATGGCATCTGAATACTTGTAATCTTTTTGTGTATAATTTTAAGCAGCCTAATTTGTATTCTTTGTAAAGTTGTTGTAACCTTGCCATATGCTCCCCCCCATGCAATGATACCATAGGTAGCAACGCTATGGAAAAAAGCATAGTATAAAGTCATAAGTGAAAACGCATTCATCAAGTTTGACATTTTATACAAGATGAAAATTACATTTTTAGTTTTCTTGATTACATTTTCTATATGTTTATTCCACTTAAGTCTACTATCAATAATTAAGCCCAAGTATTTACAATATTCGACTCTTTTAAGTTTGTGATCCTTAATTAGTATATTTATTTCATTAGGAACACTGTCTATGTATGAACCAAAAGTAATACAATTAGTTTTTTTTTACATTTAAAGAAAGTTCATTTAAACTGAGCCATTTGTATACAATTTCTAAGTAGGCATTTGTTTTTGATTCAACTTTTTTCCAAGACGTATCTGCACATATTATGACTGTATCATCAGCGTATGAAGCTATGGTGCTATTCGGTAATCTATCCAACAGATCATTAATGTAGATCACAAATAAAAGAGGTCCAAGTATTGTACCTTGAGGAACACCTGTATTTACATTTAGAAATTCACTATATGAGTCATTGATTTTTACTTTTTGTTCCCTATCTGTTAAATAACTTCTTAATAATTCTTTAGCATGACATCCAACACCATACCTTTCCAGCTTTATTAATAAAATTTTTTGGTTGACAGTCTCAAAAGCTTTAGCCAGATCTAGAAAAGTGCCCACAAATTTTTGATTTTTATTTATTTTGTTCACAATGTTTTCTGTTACAAAAAAGAGAGCGTCTTTTGTACCAATATTTCTTCTGAATCCGAATTGTTTATTTGATATTAAACTATTTCTATCCAAAAAATTATATAGCCTTCAGTGTATAAGTTTTTCAAATATTTTTGCAATATTTGATATGAGAAAGATAGGTCAATAATTTGTCGGTAAAGTTCTTTCACCAGATTTTAATATCGGTACTACTTCAGCCGTCTTTAGAGCAACTGGCCAGATCGATTTATCTATACAAATATTAAATGTATGACTTAACAGGCTAATAATGTGTCTAGCTATACTCTTTAATACGGTGGCACTAATCCTGTCGATTCCACCTTCTTTATTTTTTAATTGCTTAATTGTTTTCATTATCTCCAGTGGCGATATGGGGTCAATAAACATTGTACTTTCATAGTAACTTGGAAGATTTATTTGTTCATTTTTTGGTTTAATAATCTGATTAGCTAAATTTTTCCCAACACCGCCAAAGTAACCGTTAAAAGAATCAGCAATATCACATGGCTTGACCAGTATTGTGTTGTTATCCATTAACCTTTCAACCTTATCTTTCTTTTCTTTTTTACTTTAAGATATTTTGCTATGTATATATTTTCATAGCCTTTTACTATCTTTGCCACACTTATTTACATTTTTTGTTTATAACCATATTTTGCTATCTTAATGATCTTAGCAAGAATTTTTTCATACTTTTTGTAGTTTTCTTTCAATTTAAGATTTTCTGGATTCACTTTCCACGTACTATACAATTTTTCTTTGGTGTTGCATGATTTTAAGATTCCTGTAGTGATCCATAGTTTGCGTGGCCTATTTTCTTCTTTATTTTTGTTTCTCGTTGATTCCACTCTTTCTATTAATTTTTTTATTGTACTAATAAGTTCTTTAGTAGTCATATCAGAATCCTGCATGGATAAAAATGTGTGCCAGTGTGCTTTTGCTGCCAATTTGTACAATTTTTTGTAGTTGATGAAATTTACCTTTAGCTTGCTCAAAGAGCTGTCTATTTTAGAGTCTATGTTTACTATAAGTGGATAGTGATCATTGAATAGTTGGTTAATTTTGTACGATGTATAATTCAAATTTGACTTGACAAAAACATTATCAATGCATGCATATTCTTTCTAAGTACTATTTATACTTAAGGTAACTTGCGAAAACCTGATAATCAAAATATGTTTCATTTGGTAGATTAAAATCTGCTACATCCAATGGTAACTCTGTTAAGACTCCAAATTGGACAAAATGATGAGAAATTTTGACTCAAAGTTGAACTGTTCAGTTGAACTACTTGACAAGAACAGTAGACAAGGCCGCTACCTTAACTATCTAGCTAACTAGATCCAAAATAACGAGAAGATCAGCAAAGTAGGTACTTAGAGGAATCAATCAATCCATTTGCAATCAATTCAATGCAATCTGTTGTAAATTGAAAGAG